CACGAAAGCCCGGTGGTGCATCCATATAAATAATCTCGTCCAGATCACCGTGAAGAAACGCATCTTCACATCTAATGATGAAGAGGCCAAGAGTACTCCGCAGCCAGAGAAATAATCAACCGAACAGTAGTCAATTTTGCCACGGGGGCAAATGTAGCACCAAAAATCACGGACCTGGTACCTGAGTAAAGCCCTTCGCCACAAGTCTAGCCTTGTAACGATCAATAGTACCATCCGCAAGAAACTTCAGGGTGTAAACCCAGCGACAGCCAACAGGCTTCACCCTGAAGGTAAGGAGACAAGATCCCATGTATGATTACGCTGAAGAGCGTCCATCTCTGTCTGCATGGCAAGAACCCACTGGGGCTCCCGCATAGCTTCCGAAATAGAGCGAGGAACCGGCGTATCTGATAAGGCCATAGTATAAGCTCGAAATGTGGGAGACAGATCACCATAAGAAACATAAGCAGGGATCGGATATAAAATCTGGCGGTCCAACCATATCGATCAACTGGACGGCGATCACGCCGTGGATAACGACGCCCTAAAGCACCATCCTCTACTGATAATATCTTATCAGGTAAAGTAACTGGCTCAGCACCTGTAATCTCATCAGTACTAACAACAGGTACATCAATATGCTCAACAAACTGAGAAGTATTACCTGCATCGCCTGAGGTAGAGGGGATATCAGCAGGGTGATGAGAGCGAGGACAACGATCATACACCTGCAAAGGAAGAGAGACTGGTAACTCTGTACTGACAGGACAGGATGAGTGACTCCTTGGAGGAAAAACGGATGACCCTGTAGGATAGTGATCAATGACTCTGACTCTTGTGGTAATGGAAAATCAAAGGGAGTATCATCAACTGGAGGGGCAGACAAAAGACTGAAAGGAAAATAAGGAATATGCTCAAGAAAGGTAACATCTAGACTGTGATACATACGACGCCTAATAGGATCATAACATCGATACCCCTTAGATTGATGACAATAGCCCACAAAGATACAACGAATCGCTTTATCATCAAGTTTATGACGAGTAGGAGACCGATCCTGAACAAAACATGTGCATCCAAAAACACGAGGGGGGACCGGAAAAAAGTGTCCGCTCAGGAAATAAGACCTGTAAGGGAGCCTTATGCTGAAGAACACGACTCGGCGTACGATTGCACAGAAAGGTAGAAGTCAAAACAGCAAAATGCCAATAAGATTTTGGTACCCTCATGCCTCTAAGCAGACAACGTACCATCCCTATCAAACTCCTATTTTTCCTCTCAGCAACACCATTTTGCTCAGGAGTATATGGACAAGTGAGTTGCTGAAGGATACCCTGAGAAGAAAGGTGAGACACTAAAGCATCAGACACATATTCTTTGGCATTATCCGAACGAAGAGCACGAACAATGACATCGAATTGTGTCTTAATCATCTGTAAAAACTGAGTGATTATAGGGAGCACATCAGACTTCTTATGCAAAAGGTAGACCCAAGTACAACGGTGTGATGATCATCTATAAATGTCACATAATATCTGGCACCTGACAGAGCAGTAACGGGAGAGGGTCCCCAAATATCAGAGTGTATTAGGTCAAATGGCTTGGGTGACTAGTGCATGCGAGGAATATAATTGGCCCTAACATGTTTTGATAGGGAACAGATAACGCAATCAAGTTTACGACCAACACAAGCATTACTCAAAGCAGGAAACAACATACATAAATATTTAAAATTTGTATGTCCACAAAACGGTCATGCCACAATTGAACAGTTTGTGACGAAAAATCATAACGACAAACTACTAGGTAAAATACTAGCATGCAAGCTAGGAACAGAAAAAGACAAAGCAGGTGCAGGTGAAGGAATTGGTGAAACTGGAGATGGATTGCCAAGATAATACAGTCCATCTTTCTCATGTCCCTTGATAATAATCCTCCTGGTACTCAGGTCTGCAAATAACACGAATCAGATAAGAATACAACCGCACAGTGAAAATCTCTGGCTAACTGATGTACAGATAATAGATTCATGGCCAACTTTGGCGCATGAAAAACCGAATGTAATGTAAGGCCATCTGGGAGACGGACTGTACCCCTACTAACAATAGGGGCATGTGTTCCATCTGCTAACTGACCTGTGTATGTAACGGCTCATCAAAAGTGGTGAAGTGATGGGCCTCACCTGTCATGTGACCATTTGCACCCGAGTCCAACATCCAAAGGGGAGATGAACTGGCACAAGCGTGAAAGGCAGAGATATACCTGTAGTGGTGACAGCAGCAGTAGTCAGACTCTGAGAAGTCAGAGCAGACATAAGTATATCTAATCGGGAAGTGATAGCATCCATATCACTTTGCCAAGGAGGAGCAGTAGCAGGAGTGGCGGTAGTGGGCGGTGGTACCTCAGCAATAGCAACAGTACGGCTGCGAGAAGGTGGCTTAAGCTCTGGATGGAGCTTCCAGCAAGTAGCCCTGAGATGTCCTGGTCGGCCACAATAATCACATTGACGGGAATCCCCCGTCTGCGCTGATCTGGGGCGCCCTGACGGCGCTGGTCTGAGCGTTGCCCATCCCTGACTGAGGATCCTGAACGGGACCCTACAGCAGCTGCAAGGGCCATCTGGTCAATCGAAGGAGTCAAAGCTGCAACTGGAAGTGATGCAATACGGACTCGACGCTCATGCTGCTCAATCATCCCATACACCTCATAAAGAGAAGGAAGTGTCAACATCGACAAGATCTGAGAACGAGATCCCTCAAACTCATCACGAAGCCCCATAGGAACTTGTGAATCCTATCCTCCTGCTCTCGAGTATGCAAGAATGCTGCTCCCTCGGGCTCTATCTTCGAAATAGCAGCAAGAGGACGTAGAGACTCATACTCAAGCCAGCGCTGGGTCAAATAGCCATAATAATCCTGAACGGTCATATCTCCCTGCCGAGCATATGAGAGCTCCTGAGAAAGCTCATAAACACGAACTCCCCGTCCTGACTGAGAATACATCTCTGATAATGCGCTCCATAGCTTCGGAACAGAGCTATGAAACTGGTGGATCCTGCAAACAAAGGGCTCCATTGAGCCAAATAACCATCCAAGAATTGCACAGTTTTCAGAGAAACACGCAGAATATCCAGGGTCGGCATCAGCTGGCTTTGGGTGAGATCCAGTCAGCCAACCAAGCTTCCCTACACGGCCTAAGAAAAGCTGGAATGAGCGTGACCACTCAGCGAAGTTACGACCATTCAACAATTGTGCCGTAACTTTTTGAGAGATCATGCCCGGTAATGCTGGTAATGCAACTGTGCTAGTAGGCACTGTATACTTGGTCAAACATAAAAAGTGGAAGTACCCATAGATGTCTCAACGGTAGAGGTGTCAACAGTAGGGTTCTCAAGTCCCTCAGTAGTAGTCATATCAACAACAAAACTAGGGCACCCGTGACAGGAAAATAACTCTAAGATAAATAGAGGAATAAAATAAGGGAGAACAATATACCTTCAGTCGAATAGTAGCGACAAATAAGGAAGGTCCAAAAAGCTCCCAAATAATCAAGTCACGGTGCCCAGAAATCCAATAAATATAAATGATCTACTGCATTAAAAACAAATAAAAGGAGAAGAGGATCCGCTCCCTCCTAAAAAAAAAAGGATCTAGATACTGCAATCTGGCAGCACTATGACGAAGTGTGCGAAGGACCAAGTTACAACAAAAAAGCAAATAATATTGGTTTGTTGGCTGTACACGTGGGCCTCCTTAACTGAAAAGCAAAAGGTAAACAATTTTTTTTTTTTTTTTTTTAGCTAATTGAGCTAGCGCAGTGTAAAGGTCTGGGCTCTTGACCTTGACAAAAATTTTGAATTCGTGAATATATGCCGAATTAGAAAGTGGGTTGGTTTGATAGAGGCAGTCGGTGGAGGCAGTCGGTGGATTTGGTTTCAGTCGGTGGATTTGGTTTGAATTCGCTGGTTTTGGTTCAGCGGATAGAGGCAGTCGGTGGAGGCAGTCGGTAGAGGCAGGTTTATTTGGTTTCAGTCGGTGGATTTGGTTTGAATTCGCTGGTTTTGGTTCAGCGGTATGGAGTTGGTGGCTGTCACGGGTTGCTGGTTTCGCTGGTATGAAGCAGATTTTGATTTCAGTCGGTGGAGACAGGCTGGCCAGTTGGTTTGTGGTTGCTGGGTTGCTGGTTTCGCTGGTTTTGGCTCAGCGGTATGGAGTCGGTGGCTGTCACGGGTTGCTGGTTTTGCTGTGTAGGCAGTCGGTGCTTTATGGAGGGAGTCGGTGCAGTGGGTGAGACAAGTGGGTTTGCGGCTAGGGGCTGGAAGGCAGTGGGTTGCTGGGCCGGTGAGGCAATCTCGGTGGAGGCTAGGTTAGGGAGAATGTTAGGGTTTGAAGTAGGGTTAGTGTATGGCTCTGATACCAACTTGGAATAAACGTAAGTGAAAGGGATACTAAAATTAAGAGTAGAGCCCCGTATATATATCCAAAAATAATACAGAGTGACTTAAACATCCTTGTAGTTTAGGCAAAATATAAAAATCATAGTAAGGGTAAAAAAGGAAAAAGAAATCATAATAAACTAGACTATCTATGCTCCAACACTCTTCTACAACGAAGAAGCTCAGCTTGTGAGGGTTACGGTCAAAGATTGCTGTGAGAACACGAAACTCGGCTACGTTTACCAACCAGTGCCTATTCCGTGGCTGAATAACAAGCCAATCCCAAGAGTGAAGAAATCAAAAATTGCGAAAACTGTTGAACCCACGACGCTCAGTACCGTACCTGTAACCCTAGACAAAGTCGTGAAGTTTGTGGTCAATAGGCCGAAGAAATCAAGAAGCTCGAAGCAGAAGGAAGATGAAGAGGAGATACTGGTGATAGAAGGGATAGAGGTGGAGAAAGGCAAGTATGTGAAATTTGATGTGTTTGTGAACGATGAAGATGAGACTGAGGTTGGGCTAGACAAAACGGAGTACACCGGAAGTTTTGCCCACTTGCCGCATAAACGCAAGGGTAACATGAAGGTCAAAACTACACTGAAGTTGGGACTGAATGAGCTGTTAGAGAACTTGGAAGCTGAAGATGATGACTCTGTGCTGGTCACTTTGGTTCCCAAGTTCGGAGGGAATGATGTCACCGTCGCCGGATCCAAGATTGAGTTCGCCTGAATGAGTTCCACATCGGTAGCGATGGTTTGGGAGCTTTTAACCCGAACCCAGCCTCTCCGCTATTTTTATTCACTAATACTATTTTAATATAATTCAAGGATATAATTTAGAGATATAATGAGTTGTTATTTAAAATAATATTTTTAAACTAAATTTTTTTTATGAAAAAGATCATTCAAAATAACGTTTTTAAAAACATTATTTTTAATAACGATTTTCAAAATAAATTTTTAAACGGCAACTAACAGGTGTTAAATTTTTTACCTATAAAACATCACTTGTAATGATATTTTTAAAAACTTCGGTCCAAATAACGTTTTCAAAAAACGTCATTCAAACTGTTGCGTTTAAAAAATTTGAACAAAAAAATAAAAATCCTAAAAATATCCTACAAAAAACCCTCTATTTTTTTTTAATAACACAACTGACGAGATTATGAATTATTTTGATGATATAAATTTTTTGTTTAGTACTATTTTGTTTTAACAAAAAAAATATTATTAAAGCATGTTTCGCACAAAAATTTATAAACTTTGAAAGCTACTAAAAAATCAAATTATAAATTAAAAAAAAATTAATTAATTCAGTGCAGTACATTACCAAAAAATGCTTAAAATATTGTTTGTGTGTGTAGTATATAAATTATGTGACTAATTTTGAGAAATTTATTTTGTATATGTTAAAAAATTGTCTATCCAAATTTTATTTTATAAGTTCATTAAATAATGAGAGTTGACCTACAAAAGAGTACAAAACATCAAAAATATGAAAAAAGATACTTATAAATTAAACAAAACAATTTTATTACATGAAATTGTAAGAAATACAGTGTGTCAATATTGTGGTTGATGTAGAAAAATAATATAGAGGATTACCGAATACACATAAATTCGATGGAATAAAAGTGTCAGATGCATCATCACTTAAATTAGAATAATCAAAAAGTTCATGATCGGAAACAAATAACGGATCCTGTAAAATTTAAATCTCAATATAGTTAGGATCGAAATGCTCAATTTTTGCATGTTCGATTGCATGCAAATGATCAAGTCGACGCTGCATATGATCATTTTTACGTTCAAGCATTGCTATAATCTCATTATGGTTGGTAGAGTTTTGTGGATCATATATATCAACCAAACGTACCTTCGGTACCATTAATTCATGCCTACGACAATATACTTCAAGTTTACAACGTTTGTCATATAATTGTCGTTATCTTGAAGTGGGTTCGACACGAACACTCGGAGGCAGATAGTCGGTTACAGGCCCAACAAGTACGTATCCAACTTGACCGAATGAGTGATAAGGGTCGATAAGCTCATTACAAAACTCATGCTTTTGTCCATACCAAGTTACACCTGTAGAATCTGTGTAAGATACAATTGAATGAACTACATTCAATGATGCTGCTCAGCTAGTCGAGCGTTGACATTCGTTGGTTGAAGATGTATTTTGTTGGTCATTGCGTGACGAAGAACCTTGAGTGGTTTGATTGGATTGCCTATTAGATGTGCACCTAGACATTTGTTTTTTGTTATAATGTACACAATCAATAATGATGGTTTATATAAACACAAAATACAATTATATATAAATTTGACATGACAATTACTATTGTACGACTAACATGACTTGATAATGATAAAGTAATGATATGATTTGACAGTGATAAAACAATAATATAACAAGTGAATGACAAAAGGACTAACCTGACTTGATACTTAACTGACTACACTGAAAAACCAATGATATGACTACACAGTGATAAAATAATGACATAATAATTTAATTACATATGACTGACATGAGCTTGGGTTTCCACATAAGCAAAACAATTTAAATGATTTAATAAAAATAATTCTATCTTGGCTTCTTAGTGTCTTATTAAAAGTTAGTCCTGTTGGAAATTCCTAATCACCTAATTGTGCCTACAATTATTTAAGGACTATAATTATCTGGTCCAATTTTAGCGCATAGTCCTACTGTGAACCACTATCAGCTATGTTTTTTATTTCTTTATTTTATGTTGGTTCTAGCATATCATCTTTTAGAATGCAGAAATTCATACCATGTTGTCTAGTTATATTAATTCTCAGTCACAACGATGAGCTTTCATGGAAAATGATATGGAAATTACTCAAAAATGTTTGTAGTCCAGACCTACCCTAACAAATTCAGCAAAACTTAGAAATCCCATTAACAGTAAAGTGCCAAAAATCATAACTTTTCACCAAATCAGTAGAACAAAACTGATACCCATCTTGAAATTGAGAAATTCACAAATAATGCCCCAGCAAAAGGGTATAATTTCCAAATTTTCAATTCACAAAACGCATATCAAAACATACACGAACGGTACATTTAAACAATGAAGCATATTCACATTAATTATTGAACATGCTTAAAGTACCCAAGGTTGAATAAAATGAACAAACAAATAGCAACAGAGGCTCTTCTGAGGAAAATAAATCAAAATGTATGAACCTCTAGCCCATAAATTTCTGAAGAAAGAGAGACAGAGACTACACTACCTTCAGTGAGTCGCCGGAATAGCTAAAGGAGCAATCATTGGAGGACAAGAACAGAAACAGAGAGAGATTCCACAACTTTGCGAACTCCTTCTCCCACCTCAGATCTTTCGTCAAAGGAATGGTTCTTCGCTGGCGGAGTGTCTTCATCGGAGGTAAACTCATGCGTCGGAGTGGTCTTCGTCAACGGTATAAGCCTAAACTAGATTGATCTTCGTCGAAGGTGTGGAGTGGAGAGGATAGGTATTATGCATGGTGGGTTTAGTTTAGACACTTAGGGTTTTTGTGATTTGAGAAATTTGGGGTCTAACTATAAGTCACAAAAAACGTCATTGCAAATGACATTTTCTACCCACTATATTTCTTAACGCCTGTTAGTTGCCGTTTGAAAATTTATTTTAAAAACATCATTAAAAAAAACATCTTTAAAAATGTCATTTTGAATAATGTTTTTAATTAAAAAAAATCAGTTTAAAAAACATCATTTGAAATGACATTTTAACCCATGAAGGTGTCATTCAAAATGACGTTTTTAAAAAAAACTAAGTTTGGGAAATAAGTTTAAAACATGTTGGGTTTGGGAATAAAGATAGTGGGGAGACAGGGTTTGGGGAAAAGCTCGACGGTTTGGCTATTGTTTCTTTTCTGTTGCTCTTTTAAGTTTTTTATTATTATTATTATTATTATTGTCCTCTCAATTCTCAAGATCTGAAAATTGAGGACAGGTTTTACCTAGCTACATTTATCTAAATAATTTGAGGAGATATTTGTTTTTATCTCCTTAAATTAACTTTTACCAAATTTTTCTATTCTTTTTTCTTTTATCAAAACTTTGCAGTTTTTGGTTTATTTATCAAAGTATTGTTGCTTTTATGAAAGTTTTTTTTAAGAAGCACATTTTTAATGTTAAGGTGTGGTTCAAAAACACACTTCCGATATAGATAATGTTAAAATCGTATTTTTGAACACAATTTTACTATAAATATGTATTTTCTCTAAATAAATTTAAAATCATACTATTTCAATTAAAAATTTTCCAATCTACAATCACGAGTTCAACTCAATTTTTTGAAAAGGTTAAGAATCACCCATAAAGATGCTATATTTTTTTACTATAAAATGACTTATAAAAATTATAAAAATACTCGTTAAAATAATAAAAATTAAAGGTAAGGAATCACAAAATTTTCTTTCTTACGGTAATCAAACCGCTTCAATTCGGTCATACATGCCTTCCCAAAAAGGACAAAAAGGACAAGGATGGAATTATCAACTATTCGTCTACAATTCCATTGATAATGACTTCTCACTTTCGGACAGTGCAAGATATGAGTCAGAGAGAGGTAGTGAGCATGCACGAGGATTTGATGGATAGAAAAAGATTAAACATCCAAGTGAATAAGGATTTGATGGATAGAAAAAGATTAAACATCCAAGTGAATACGGATTTGATGGATAGAAAAAGATTAAACATCCCAGAGAAAATATTAGATATCACATTTATACCACATCATTTTCATGATATTTTATAATCGTCCATTAATAAGCTATCAAATAGATAAGTGTATTTTACATAATCATATAATCACCTATGTACGTTGTATAATAATTATCCATGTATAAAAGTAAGGTGTACTTTATCTATTTGATTTTTTTTTCAATGATCAAAAGTTGAACATTTAGAAAGTGGGTCGGATTTACCTTTTTCTTTCTTGGCACTATGATATTAATACAACCAAACATGTTGGCCACCACACCAATGAAAAATCAGAAATGATATGAATGGATACGTACGGGAACTAGTTCGAATAAATTCGATTGAATTGTTGTAGACCAATGCTATAGGATTTTGAAATTTAACAGCATTCTCTAACTTAATATTTTGATAACTTGCATGGTCTATTGGTATTATTATTACTAGAGGTGGTAGATAGACGAGCTGAGTTGGTTCAAGATGGGTAGAATACAAATTCAATCAATTTTTAATCCGCTCAATAAACCGGTTATAATGCATTAGATTTTAATTATTACAATTGTTAGATTTTTTAATTTAGAAAGTAATACTTAACACATTATTAAGTTAAAAAATTATACTAATTTATAGGTCTAAAAAGTAATGACGATGATTTATTCCTTTTTTGTTTAGGGTGTTTTTTGTTTTTTTGTTTTTTGGGGGGAGGTTTAAATGTAAATGATAAAAGTTGGCAAAACAGCAAGAATTGATGTCCTTTCCAAAGCTTACCCAAAAAATGATTGATGATTTTGCTATTGGATACTTGTAAAATCATCAATATGGTATATTGTGCTTGGACCACAACAAGAAATTTAAAAGAGCAAAAAAAGAAAGAATAAAATGTTCCCAAGAGTTTGCCAAACACGTGTTATATGATTATATCTACCTTGAATGTCACTAATTACATTTGTCATAATGCCTTGACTACTCTCTCTCCCTCTCACATAAGGAAATTA